AATTCATGCCACTAGCCTAAAAGCTCACTGACAGTGAAGTGTGTCATCTTCCTCATATGAACTTATCCAACAGAAGCCAAGATAACATCTACAGGTGTTCTCTCTTTGCTTCTGACAGTCACCTGCATGGTCACACCATCTGCTAAGGCCAGCCTGGACCTCACCAATAAATCATAGCCACCTCTGTATACACCTGCTAGACAGAGCGAATGGGAATTCTTGTTTTCAGGTACTTTATCTGACCTCTCACATGGTTGCATGCCCAGAAATGTGATGATGTTGTTGACAGCTTCTTCAAGTGTTTTGGTAGACCTAAGGGCAAAGGTCTCTTCTTTCTCAAAGGTATCTCCCAGCTCTTCCCAAGCAGCAGAAAAATTAGGCTTCAGTACCTTCTGAATGTGGTCAGACACACTAACTTCAAGATCTTCCAGCACATACTTATCATCATACCCATCCTCATCTGGTACTCCAGTGTTAGGGTCACAGTCCTGGACTGTAAATTCATGGTGCAGCTAAAGGAGCCTGCAACTGCTGTAGGGTCCTTATCAGGCAAACAAACAAGAGTGTAACATATTCCTGGTTGATTGTAAGTGAGGTTGGGGGCTGGGATACAACACAGCACCTCAAAGGAATCTGATGGTTCCATCTGCACCGTCACTTTCTCCTGTAACTGGTCATTGAGAGTATTGGTACAGTTGAATTGGAACACAATATGATTAGTAAACATGTGCTTGATACATCTAACAAAATATTCTGTTTCTGCTTCCGTCAATTGAACAGGCTCCGAAGACTTGAACAAGGGTCCTAGGTTCATAAACTCGGGAAGGGCAGCCAATTGTTCTTGGAAAATGTCTTGCTTAGAAGGAGCCAACTTTTCAGGCTTGGGAGCCACAAGTGTGAGTTCTGCTTTCTGTTCAAAGACAGGAGCCATAGCAAGTGGAATTGATTTCAGGTCAAAGGGCTTTTCTGAAGGTTCCAATGTATACTGGTGTAAGGCCTTTTCCATTCCTGGTACAGAGACTGTCAGATCATTGAAAATATACGTAGCATTCAGTGCCATCTGCCTCTGCTGTAGCACATTCAGATAGAAGGTAGCTCTGTCCCATACTTCATCATCAGTACCCATCATACACCTTTGTAACAGTACAAGGATGCTTGGGAGAAGACTCTCACTCTGAGCCCCAAATTTAGCGAGAGCACTCACAGCAGCAGCTCTGATGGCCTCATTCTCTAGGACAACCCAATTAAAAATGAAGCGGATTTATTTAGAGGGGACAGGTGTTCTGGGACCCTCTTTGCCCAACAAGTGTAGAATCTTAGTTGCCAAAACAGTGTGTTCCCAATCCTCAAATTCACAAAGGTGGGCTAGACCTGCTTCTTTACTGTCTGGGTTTTCTTCTACAATGGTGATTATGCAGTCCACAATGGCCCACTTGTATTCAAAGCCTCCATCATCTCAGAGCATGTTGAAGAGGAAAGTCATCATGACACTGCTTCCAAGGATACTTCTGACAGAGAGCACTAATTACCTGTACAACCACCACCTTGAACTCATCTGAAATTTCAGACACAAAAGAAGATATCTGCTTCATAAGCCTATCTACACTGCTCTCACTTCCTGTTTTAAGCAGTGTGGTAATGGCAAGGGTTGCAATACTTCTGTTTGAATCTGTGATTAAGTTTTGTAAGTCCAGATTGCAGGCAGTAACAGCAGAAAGGTGCTTCATTGCCACCTTGTTCGAGGTCCTCACAGCTGCATATCTCAAGGCTGGTTTAGGAGAGCTACAGAAAAGTTGAAGAACTGAGACTGCAGGTGCCAACTCTCTTGCAGTACAGTTAGGAAGATGGATAATAGCAGACACAGCTTCATAAATAACCATTTCATGTTTATTTCGCAACCAGCTTTCAATGAAATCAAAGAGAGGACTTTCATGGCCATCCTCAGTTTCTTTTAGTAAACGACTAGCAATTCGGATCAGCATACAGTAAGCAAGCTGTGATTTGAGACCAGATTTAGTAAACTTATTTAACATCTTGGAAACAGCAAGACGATCATTCTTTCGAAGGTGATACAGTACTCCCAATACGGGACCATAATACTGTCACTTGATGCAGCTTCTTAGGCTTCATTTATCCAGCGTTTAACCACATAATAACTTATCTTCATCATATGTAAAGAAGATACCAGTGCTTTACTGGATACACTGGAGACTTTGTCCACAATGGCCTGCTTCATGTATCTTTCAATGGCTTGTAACATTGTTCCATCTGTGATTCTGCAGAGTGCCCTCATCTCTGAGCCCTGGAACACATCTTCCTTTCCAGTCATGTCCTTGGTCAGACTGCTTGTGACAATTATCACATCCTCAGAGATGGCAGCCATTTCTTTGATTGTAAGTAGCACATTCTCCTCAATGTTTGATCATTAGATTGAAACGATCGAGTCATTGCAAAGAAGGCTTCCGTAGCTTCCACAGTTCCAAAGTGTTCACCCTGGTTCAGTAAGTAGAGAATCTTTGTAAGAATATGCAAACATCTTCTTGGACTGATGGGAGTTTCACTGAATATATGAGCCTCCTGTAAGACGGCACTCTTCTCCAGATGGTGGAAAGAATTGGAGCCACTACCTAACCTTCTACCATGCTTGGCAGCTTTCAAATATTGGGAATTCTTTTTCTTTTGGGGGTGGCTTGGCATCTTCCTCATCTGCTCGCTCAAAAGTCACTTCTGGATGTATGAGCATTCGAAGAGCTATGTCCCATGGGACAGTTGGCCCCTGGGAACGAGTTACATTCAAGGGCTACCAGGAAGACTAGAAGGTACAAGACACTTTCACGTCCATATATACGCACTCGCTACTCCGTGGACCCCAGCCCCGGATAAGAGGGTGTGCACTCGAGGCCTAAAATCACCAGTACCCGGGGCTACAGAGGCCGGCACAGCCGTGTACCAAAGCGGCTGCAGACCCGGCGGAAGGGC